TGCTTAACAATTTAGTTTTTTTTCTGAGAATTTACTACAGCTTATTCTTCAAATATACTATAAGACAATATACAGGCGATACTTTTTATTTTTGGTCACATTTTGAACCCACCGTCACATTTATACGGCAGTCTAAACAAGTCTGTACGCCCAGTGCCGTAGTAATTCGTTTATATAAACATGCTATCAGAACCACCGCCGCAAATATATGGCATCAGCAAAGACTATCGATGGAGCCCGAGACAACACGAGTTTATTACTCATATTGGCTATATTGCTTCAGTTTCAAATGAATACCGGCACCGCCGGTCGGTTATATTGAACAGTGTAACGTGCCAAGCGGTAAGGAAAGTAAATAAAATGGCGTTGTTTGTATAAAACTTAAGAGATGCTGGTTAAATGATATTAGATAAATAATTATAAAGAAAAAATGCAATATATGTTTGTAAATAAATTAGCGAAAAATAGCAACTATAAATTGTAAATAAATTATGAAATTAACTGATCTTACTCATTATTGCTGTTTGTACAAAGAACATATACTTAACCTTTGGTTCTATTGATGCATTCGTAACAGGCTGAAGAGTTGGTCGCGGTGCATTACGACGCCGCGGCCTTAGAAGCCGAGGCTAATAACACGAGACCGGTCAATGGTGCGTTTCGTTCACTGTCTTACAAAGAAGTGAAGTACGTTAAGATGGTCAGAACTAAGCAACCCTCTAAGCGTTACATGGTGGTCCAAGAAGGTGTACCAATAAATCATTCTATTGTATTGCGACTTTGAGTGGCGATAATTTAAGCTAATTGTGACGGTAATACGAAACTGTACACTTGTGTGTATATTTTTGACCCAAAATATAAAAGAGAAGCCAAATTCTCCGTACTTAACATAATAAATGAGATAGCCAGTAACAATTTTATGAAATAACAGGAAGTAATATATTTTAAAAAGGACGTTAGAATACAGCATTAAACTAGATGACATTACAGCACCGTAACAGAAAAATATTAAATTTAAAAATATAAAACAAAATAATACATACTTTCCCAAACATGCTCCCGCTCCAAAAACGAATGTTTTTAAGAACAGCTAAAAGTATAAATATAAAGAATAGACATGAAAAGATCGATAATTAAGAACTAAGTAAGAATAAAATATGCATTAACAAATAAGGGGCGGTCATATTTTGACCACAGAACATTGTTGGATGCCATCTGAAACTGGGCTCATATGAACAACGCGTACAATGTCATCAATTAGAAAAGAATAACGTCGAATCAGTAGAATTTTTTCGATCGGCTAAACTAGAAAGACTGTGTCAAACGCAATAATGTTGGTCCCTTTTCCTATAAGAATTCCGTGCAGTGCCCCAAAAACAAGAAAAAGAACAGCGTCGAAATCTCGGATTGGTGTCGCATTTCAATTCTGCAATGAGCCGGGAAGTAATGATATTTCGACGATATCCACGGTAGGAAAATGCCAGTTTGGTGAAGATTGTAATAATTGTGCCTATGATAAAACATGACTAACACAATCAGAGTAGAGTGTGGTATAAGTTATTGTATGTGTTTTAATACGATTGACAATTTATGGATAGAAAAATTAGCTCAAGGGAGCGTAATCGTAGAGTCAGATCAAATATCGGAGGATTGGAAGAAGAACCCTAATGCAAAGGTGACTAGATCAGCCAGCAATATTACTGCCAAGAGTTTCAATTTTGTCGAGACAGAGCGAGCATGAAAATTGGACTAGACTTGTTGACAATGGTGACTAGATTAGTCAGCAGTATAGATGCCAAGAGCTCCGATCCAGCGATAGATGTTCGTGTATAGAAATAACAACAGAAATGTAACACATACAAATACATATGATGTCAGATGTTAATCTTCGTAAATGGGTATATTTATTTAAAAACCCTTAAAAGGGCTACATTATAAAAACAAACGTTTTCGGACTAAACAGTCCATCATCAGATTTAAAATTGCTAGGTTAAAATGCCTGAGCCACCAAAATACCAGGGTAAAAACCCTTTAAATTACATGTAGTTGTAAAAGATTGTATATAATGTTGTTATAAAACTGTGATGTTGACGATTTACGAAGATTAACCTCTTTTTTGTGATACGTGATATACAGCCAGCTACAGGAATTGTTTTCCTGGTGGATTATGTCAGATATATCTGTTCAGATGTTTCATCATCTCAGGATACATTGAAGTACCACAACGGTTGTAGAAGACGTTTGACTAGCAAAAAGACATGGAAAAGGAATAAAAACAAGAGGATAGCAACAAAAATACGACTGATTTATGAACGTATAGCCCGCAGTACCGTCAAAATGAAAAGTTCCTCTGTGTTAACGAACAACATGTCAACATGTCTAAGCCAAAGCCTGAAAATACATAAAGATGGTTGCTGACGTTGTCGATTTGTCTAGCGAAAATCCATCGAGCTTTAAAAGCTAAGCGAGTGCTCACTGCAGAAGGTGAGTAGATCAAAGAGAATCACTCGAAGGGTGATTCTGACTTAGGTCCGTCGAGATTGCTGCTGGCCCACTGCCTAGCAAAAAACCATCGAGCATTAAAAACTAAGCATTACTCTTGTAGAGTTTTTAAGCGAAATAAAACAAAGAGCTACCGTAAGTAACGATACGTAGTAAAAACTCTCGAAAGAACGAGATGCCCTTTTAGGACCAGTATCAAAAGCGTCGATTAGCGACACACCTCGAACGTCATATAGATTGGCGTCGAAGCTAGTACCAATTTTGGATAAAAGAAGTGAAATAAAAGTTTGTTTTTTGAAAACTGTGTAAGAGTTATAAAAAATAGTCGATATATAAAATCGGATTCAGGAACCGGCATCATATGTTGAGAAGCAATACAATCTTACAAAAATGTAAAAATATGAAACAAAATAATACATACACGCCCAAACAGGCGTGTAGTTCGAATACGTCGCGGAAGAGAAAACGTGTTAATACAAAAGTTAGTATGTGCGGCCTTGTGGAGGACAATATTGATAAAATACTAGATTCGAATAAAGAACCCTACATTGACAGTGGAAGTAAATGTTAACCTACTGACAGTGAAGCCAGTAGCGAAGACTAGATTGATCATATGTTGTGCGCCGAAAACCACAGCGACAGTGAGGATGACATAAATGAAATGGCAGCCAATGTTATAGATGAACAGAAAGAAGCAGAAGCGGTAACGAATGCTTTACCTGAAAACTTAAGCTTGAACTGGACAAAATATTTATTCCTCAAATACATAATTTTGACAAAAAAATGATAAAACTGCTGGTGCTTGTTTAGGTAACACAGAAGTTCCAGTAAATTGGTTTATTTTCTATTATTTATGAATGATGAGATAGTGAACATGATTATAACACAGACTAATAAATATGCTTTAGAACAGACACGTTTAAATAAAAAATTATTTGGACAGTAATGACTAAAGAAAATTTCTTTAATTTTATTGCTGTTCTTTTCCTTGGTGCTCGTCATTGAAAAAACTTGTAGAAAATTGGACGACAGATGAATTGTTGTACACTCCAACATTTGGAAAAGTTATGTCCAGAAAAGGGTTTCAAATTATAGTACGCATGTTGTATTTTGCAGATAATGACCAACAAATTAAAGGCGACGCTTTCCATAAGTTATGAGGAATTTTCGAAAAAATCAAAAATACAGTTACTCAGAGGTTTTCGCCATTCCAGAACTTAGTAATTAATGAGAGTTTAATGCTTTTTAAAGGACGCCTGCTTTTCAAGCAGTTTATAAGAACAAAACGTCATCGTTTTGGCATTAAACTATTTCTTTTGTGCAACTGTGAGACAGGATACGTTTTAAATTTTATCGGATATACAGGCTCCAAAAGTGAAATAGAGCGAACCAGGATCTGGGGATATCAGGGTTAGTTGTAACAACACCTATGAAGTTTTATTTAAATAGAGGCCACTCTCTATTCACGGATAATTGGTATACCTCTCCAACGCTTTCTATCTATCTATTTAAACACAAAACAAATACGTGCGGTACCATTAGAACCAACAGAAAACAAATGCCTGATTTATCGGGTAAATTAGAAAAAGGCGAAACAAAAGCCGTTAGATGGAAAAATCGTAGAGACTTTAATATGTTGACAACTTTTCATAAAGATCAAATAATGATAAATGTAAATAAAACAAACAGGAAGACAAGGGAATTTGAGAAAAAACCGGAATGTGTCGTCCACTACAACCAAAATATGGTTGTACAAGAAACTATTCTTTCACATTCTTGTGTCCTAAACAGTCATGCATTATTTCTTACGCAAAATCCAGGGCAGTTGCCCTTGGCAGATTTCTAATTGAGGCTAACTCGACAGCTGCTTGAAAGGTAATTTTGTGAGAGACTATAAATTTATTTTATTTACGAAAATCTTTTGTTACAGTTATAATGTATCAAAAACCATACACAGGGTGTTGAATACATCAAAACATCAGCGCCTGACGGGGCGACATTTTCCGACTATGGTACCAAATAAAAAAGTTTGAAGATGCATTGTTTGTTCACATTCTAAAATTCTTGACCAAAAAAAGACACAAGATTCAAGATATATGTGCAATGAATGCGACGCGTGGGCCTATGTATTTTTCCTTGCTTCGGAGAATATCACACAAAAGAAATGTATTAAAAACTTTTGACTTACATATACGCAATCCTAGTTATTTGTATAAACTTATTTTTTGCCAATATTTATTCTTATAATAAAATATACAGGGTGAATCAGTTATTTCATATCAATAGTATTTATTATCTCCTCATAAAATAACTTTTGATCTATTTTCTAGCATGCCGTATGTATATGGCACTGGGTCTCATGACTTTTTAAAAAATCTGGATCTGGCAGTACTACCTAGGTATTGACGACCGGTATTAAAAAGGTTAAACTAATAAACACTATTTAATAAACATTACTAATTCACCTAACGAAACAATGGATTCAAGAACTTTCTTACCTTAAGTTTGTGGATCTCCCTTTGCAGTTTCAGTACTTGACTCTCTTTGCATCCTAGCAACTTTTTCACATCGAACAATTCGGACTGAACAGATTCATACTTTCCCTCGATCTCCGACACTTCATATTTCAATTTTGCCACCAGCGACTTCAGGTAATCATAGTCCTCCGAATCGATCAAACTCTTTCTCTTCAACTCTAAATTTTTGGAACTTCTTTTAATCGTCTGTATTACTTCCCCGTCTATCGAGCTCTTTCTTAAACTGGATGCTATCCCGTTACCCATGGGTGTGAGTATTCCGAAACCTTGTAGGAACTTTTGAGCTTCGTCGTTGTTTTGAATCGATTGCCCTTCGTATGCTAGGGCAGTGTATTTGTGGTAGTCTAATTTGTTCTTAATTTCTGGATGAAGGTTAGGAGGAGGCGTGTTTTTTTGGATCAGTCCGCATTTATCACAGTTTTCGGCTGGTATTTCCACTGGAATCGGGAAGTTGATTTCTGGGTGAGGTAGGTATACGTTGGCTTTCACAACATTCGTTCCTTTGGGTAACTTGGGACACAAACACACTTCTGGACTTTTAGAAAACCTGAAATGAAAAATAATGATTTAAAAATTTAAAAATTATTTTATAAATGGTTATCTAGAAAATGGGGAGTATGTGAGACGATCTTTATGAACATAAAATTCCTGTAGTGTGTTATATTATAGAAAACTGGACACGTAGTATATATATATATACATATATATATATAAATATATATATATATATATATATATATATATATATATATATGTATATATATATATATATATATATGAATATATATATATATATATATATATATATATATATATATATATATATATTATGAGGATATGGGGTTGTACGCTCGAATAAATGAACTTTCAAAAATTAAGGCAAATATCGAGCACAAATTTAATAATCAAATCTTGCCCAAGTACTTTCGCTTTCTACAGCATCATCAGGGGTATTTAGTCAAATTTGGGCTGTCCAGCAAGCGCAGAATGTAATAAACATGAAATTAGACATCAATTGTACATAACACTACATTAACACAAGGACAAACAGTTTAAAATTATTAAAAATTATTCTACGCTCTACATTCTTGTCGGCAACAGGAGACAGAAAATCTTTCATTCTAATAAATGGAAATCAAAAAAGGAAGAAACAAGATGGATAAACTCACTCAAGCTACTAAAGATCTTATAAACAAAAGAAGAGAATTGAAAGACACGTACACAGATAATTTTGTAACACTTAGACAGTTAAACAAAGATATCAAAAAATCCATTCGAAAAGATGTCAGAAATTACAACACTGAATGCATAACTTAAGCCATTGATAAAAATAAAAGGTTAAAGGTTCTGCGTCGAAAAATGACCGAAGGATCGAAAAATATTTGTAAACTTGTAAATAAAAAAGAACAAACTACAACAAATAAGAAAGATATTTTAAAAATTGCTAAAGATTTTTAATCAGAATTGTATAAGCGAGAAGAACTTCCAGATCCTAATCAAAATCAAATACCAAAAGTTCAAAATGTAGGTTCAGAAGACATTCCAGATATCACAACAGAGGAAATAAAATCAGCTCTCTCGGAGTATAGATCACCTGGAGTAGATGGGATAGTCATTGAACAAATCACAGAAGGAGGAGTGACGTTACTAAATGTGTTGAAAAAGATGTTCAAGCTTGTTTGACAAGAGGCGTAACCCCCCTCCCAGTGGAATAATGCAATAATAACCATAATGCACAAAAAAGGTGACATTTCAGACCTAAAGAACTACAGACCGATTAGTTTGCTCTCCCATACATACAAACTATTCATGAAGATAATAACTAAACGGCTTGTGAACAAACTTAATAGTTATCAACTTTGTGAACAGGCTGAGTTTCGCTCCAGATACGGAACAAATGATCATATACATGTTATAAAAACGCTAATAGAAAAGTGTACAGAGTATAACAAGCCTATCTTTCTTATATTCGTATAGATACCTTCGCCTTCACGAAGATACCAATAAGTTTCGAATAGAACGTGAGATTAGACAGTGTGATACTATCTCCCCTAAATTGTTTACAGCTGTTCTTGAATATATGTTCAAGCAAATGGAACGAGAGCATAATATGGGAATTAATATAAATGTGGAAGATTTGAACCACCTAATATTTGCCGATGACATCGTTTTAGTATCTGATATAGTTGATAAAGCTACAAAAATGCTGCACACGCTCATGTCATAAAGTGTCAAAAACAATTTGTCTTAAAATTAACACCTCAAAGACAAAATTTATGACCAACCTTGTAGTCAGCGGTAAAATTCTGATTGGGAGCCATAACATCGACCAAGTAATAGCTTACAAATATCTAGGCAATGAGATTCGCTTAGGCAGAGATAATCAGACAACTGAAATATAAAGAAGGATAGGTCTCACATGGGCTGCCTTTGGTAGATTGAATAACATTTTCAAGTCTAGTATCCCAGTTTGTTTAAAAAGAAAGGTTTTAACCAGTGCGTTTTACCGGTTCTTACATATGGTGCAGAAACACTGACTCTGACAAAAAGAACAATAGATAAAATTAGAGTTACACAACGAGCTATGGAAAGATCTATATTAGGTATTACCATCAGAGATAAAGTACCAAACCTAGAAATAAGAAGAAGAACAGCAGTCACAGATGCAGTTGAAGAAATAGCCATGGCTAAATGGGCTTGGGCCGGACAGATTAACGGATGATAGATGGACCAGAAAGATTCTGGAATGGCGACCAAAGCAAGATGCATATCGAAGCAGAGGACGACCACCGACTAGATGGATAGATGATATCAAGCGCATCACCACAAACTGGATGCAAGAAGCTCAAAATAGAAAGAGGTGGAAAATTTTACGGGAGGCTTACGTTCAGCAGTGAACAAATATAGGCTAATTGATGATGATGATGATATATATATATATATATATATATATATATATATATTATATATATATACGTTTGGCCTTATTTTCGATTGGCTAGCATTGTCGTTCCATATAAGTTTATTTTGTGTCCTGTGTTTATGGCATGTTGTGCTGATGATGAAGTCTTCTCTTTTTTTTCTATCGCGTTTCGATGTTCTTCGCGTCTAACTTGTATCCTTCGATTTATCTGTCCGATGTACGATTTATCGCAGTCCTCACACCGAATTCTGTATACACCTTGATTTTCCAATGCAACTTTTGCTTTTGCCGATGGTAATATGGTTGCGATTTTTCAGTCAGTGTCAAAACCTAGTCGCTATTTTGTTTTTTCTTAGCACTCTGCTGATTTTTTCGTATCCGTTATATAGGACAGGATAAGTTTTTCCGACTGTTTTTTCTTCTTTTTTTTGGATCTTTGCTTTGCTAGCAATTCCTTTATATAGATATATATATATAATATATTATATAGTATATTATATATATATTTATAATTATATATAAATTTATATATATATATATATTTATATATATATATATAAATATATATATATATAAATATATATATATATATATATATATATATATATAAATATATATATATATATATTTATATATGGAGAAAATAATATATATGGTAGAATATATATGGAGAAAAGGGAGTACGACCATTACGGATTTTTTTTTTCGGTCAAATGGTGGAGAAAAAAAAGAAAGGAATGATGGCTACTTCATCTATTTATTGAAAACGTTTCGATTTCTAATCAGAAAGCATCATCAGTTCATCTAAAAAGAACAATATGAAAAACCTAACATCCAAAGAAAAGTTATTAAGTGTGTTACCTCAAAAAGATATGTAGCAGTCAATGATATTAAAATTGTAAAGAAGCTTACGACAATGGATATTATAAAATTATGTTGTATAAACAATAAATTGAACTAAATATAGTTCAAAGTACACCTATTTTCTGAGACAAAAACTCCATTGGCCCCTCTAGAACAAACTAACGTCGTCTATCATGTACCCTGTGCGGAGTGCAACTCCTGCTACATTGGCCAGACCAGCCGTTCTCTTCAAGGTCGACTAATGTCCCATAAAAGCGACATTAGGATTTCAAAACCATCCTGTGCCCTTGCACAACATGCCATTTCAACCAAACACAGTATCGACTTCACGAATACCAAAATACTGTGCAAACAAAAAAATTATCATAAGCATTCTATCCTTGAAATGTGTCAAATTCTTAAACATCCATCATCCCTAAATAAAAGAACCGACATCGACAACTTGAGCCAGATATATCACTCTCTCATTATACAACACAAATAATAAATAAAAAGAGTTACTAGATAGTAACTTCATTCCCCTTCTTCTTTCCCCATTTTTAAATTTTTTTTTGTTTTTTTTTGTTTGTTTGTTTGTTTTTCAAAGACAAAGGAGGAGGAAAAAAAATATTCCTTTTTGAAAAATAGGGCTGTCCCCGTTCTGTTTACTAACTTTTTTAATAATTGTACCTCACTGCTTTCCAAAGAAATATATGTACGACACAAGCCACATATGCAAATATGATAGCCTACAACCGATAGAAAACAATCCAAGAGATTATTGTGTTAGATCTTCGAAAGAGCTTACACCCACATTGAGATGAAGCCATCGGTAAAAATTAAATAAACAATAGTGCTCTTTCAGTTTTTTCTTGTGTTTTTTGTTTCGATTCTATCGTTTAGTTTTTAAGTTTTTAATGTTAAGTTATCGTAGAGTTTTTTAACATCTTTAAAAAAACCTACAAATTGTTTTTGTAAGTATGAACCCTTTTGGTTATTTACTTATATTTTAAATATTTTTATTTTTATTTGTAGTGAACTGATGATGCTTTTGAAAACAAAAAGCGAAACGTATTCAATTAAATCAATGAAGTAGTTGACGACTTTCATTTGCCTATTATTGACCGATACAACCTCTGCTATTCAACTATTGAATATATTTTACATTTAATCAACGGTCGTATTTTTTGCTATATATATATATATATATATATATATATATATATATATATATATATATATATATATATATATATATATATATATATATATATATATATATAGCCATGCCATTACTTTTTACTTTTATTATTCACTTGCAGTATCCTTTTCCATATACAACATATACAAATATATTTTAGAGTCGAGCAGTACCGTATGACCGTACCGTACCGTATAAAATTTTGACTTTAAGGTTAAAGTTCTGGAAATTTTAAATACAAGTGACGTCACTTTATAGAAATTGTGACGTGCAACGTTTTTACTTTGAAAAATGGTATAGTTTTTGTTTTCAACCAAGACCGAAGTATAAGAAGTAACCATTTATATACTTTTTGACTAACGAAAGCAAGGAATTTTTAAGAAGCACTGAAAATGTTAACAAAAAGCAAACTTTATCAAATAGACGGTTCTGTAAAATAAGTAATTCGAAGAAATGTTTTTAATTATTTAGAAGAAATTATTTTTAATTCTAAAATAAGATACATTGTTTCGACAAAATTTTAAAGCAGAAAATCTGTGCTTGTAGAGAAAGAAGAAATAATTTGTTGAAGACGATATTA